AGTGAAATATCTTCTGAAAATATACAGCTCTCAATTTTTCTGCGTTACTTTTGTTTCGTTCATGGCAGTTAAGTTGCTCAATGCGATCAATGGATAGAGTGACTTAAGCAGCTAACGAAACTATTGTAGATGTCAAAAATATGTACAAGATGTCATTTACGAGTGCAGTTGTAGCAGCATATCAATAACTTTTTTTGCGGCAATTAATCAGTCACTCGTTGCGAATCGTTTTTCATTGGTCGGTCTGTCTGTCAAGCGAACTGATACACTTGTGCAAAATCATTGCTAAAACTCGCTGCCTCCGAGAACGCCGTGTTTTATTAAAGGGTTGCCGCTTAGAAGTTCAACACGTCAAACTGCGTAGATGAACGTGGTCAGTTCAATTTTTACTTTTGTAACTTTCAGCGTGGGTCCTTGGTATGTTTTGGGTCGGCATACTGTCTTTGTTCATACAGGAGTGGCGAGTAATGTATTTTGCATGTACAGCGCCCGGAGTTCTAGCGATCTTTTACTACTTGTAAGCTATTTAACTTATTTAAGTGGAAGAATTATATTTTATTATTTTGAATATTTCTCAGCCAGCATTCAAGGCTAAGTTTACGATGGAAGGGAGTCTACTACAAATAAGATAGAAGTGGCCAGCAATGCAAGAATGAAAAAAAAACACGAGAAAGCCCATGGCTGGCCGAAAAACGAGACCCTTTTTTAGGCCTTCACTTCCATATTTATACGACCTTCATCCATGCTGTGCTCTTCAACATTCTAAGCTAGAGTCGGAGGGCGTGAAGATGGGTCTACCGCCGCGGCCCAGTGGCCTTGCAGAGTCGTCCCGGCGCCGCTGCCTGCCCACTCCGTCGCCGTCTGACTCTAGCCACTCTAGCAGCTAGATGGTTAGCATTGGTGAGGTCCGCATCGATGAGAATGGTAATGCGCGAATCAACGGGCAAAAAGAGGAACTTATTACGGATTCTGGGTCGTTCTTCATTGACTTTTTCTTTCTTCATACCTACATTACTGACCATCTCCACCTTGATTACTTGTGGGACGCCTCTTTAGCGCATGTTATGGATGAACAATTCATGAACCTTTTTGATACAACTCGCTTTCGCTTTTCTCGAAAATCTCTAACATCTGACTTCAGTATGGTTCATTTATGTGCCCTGAATAAAGCTTCTCCTTCCGTACGACCACCGACGTAACAGCACGAACCTCGCCTTTAGCGCTGGCATGTGCAGTGGAATACTATTCCCTTAAGCAGAGGTCCTAGAAGCAGTCATGAATGACTTATCGTAAAGTTTCTCAGCTAGCTTATACATCACCAGTTTTGCTTCGCCCGCTATCGCGCGCATCACACGGCAGGCTTTAGCGAAATTGGAGGACCCATGGAATATCAGCATGAGATACTCCATTAACCATCTCACTATTGACTGTGTTAGACCCTCCACAGTTTCACTGAAGCTCATCGAGAATACGCGTGATAACGTCTGAGCTGAACTGGTATATTGATCACAACTGTAAACATCCATTCCTTGAATTAAGATAATTTAGCGGTGAATAGGATTGCTGTCAGTCTCAAAATCAAAACGAAATATGCCTATTTACATAAGTGAGGAGCTAATGCTTATCATTCATTTACATTCATCATTATTTAGAATCCACGAAAGGATTAGCGGTTTAATGAGTTTGGGTTTTCTTAATAGTCAGAAATGAAACTTATCATTTGTTTTTTTAAAGTTTATGCAGTCGAATTCTATTAAGTAAGCTGGATATATATCGAAATAATGTGCACGTACCTTTGTTTGTACTACTACGACTTACTACAATTTGTAAGTAGGAACGCTCTAGTGTCAACGCTGCGTAACGGAACTAACGACTTTTGCGTTCTGACGCCTTATCAGCCCTTATCAATCGTTATCAGTTTCTGGCACCCACCAACAATGTCCCCGTCCCACCCCACATAACACTTGTAAGTATGGTTGCTCTGGTGTCAACGCGAGCCAGGCAACGGAATCGACGACTTCAGCGTTCTGGCGCGCCTTATCGGCCCTTATCAATCGTTATCAGTTTCTGGCACCCACCAACAATGTCCCCGTCCCACCCCACATAACACTTGTAAGTATGAACGCTCTAGTGTCAGCGCGAGCTGCGTAACGGAACTGACGACTTTTGCGTTCTGACGCGCCTTATCGGCCCTTATCAATCGTTATCAGTTTCTGGCACCCACCAACAATGTCCCCGTCCCACCCCACATAACACTTGTAAGTATGGTTGCTCTGGTGTCAACGCGAGCCAGGCAACGGAATCGACGACTTTTGCGTTCTAGCGCATCTTATCAGCCATTATCAGTTGCTATCGCTTCCAATCATGTACCACCAATGTCCCGGGACCGCCCCACATAAGACTTGTAAGTATAGACGCTCTTTTACCAATATGAACGGCAAAACGAAATTGGCGATGCTCGCTTTCTAGCCCCTCTTATCAGCTATTATCAGTCGTTATCAGTTCCTATCACGTACCACTTGTGTCCCCATCCCACCCCCTATAACATATTTAAGAACCACTGCGCTATCGTTACTGTGACTCGAGCTATGAATTTCCGGTTCAAACACACACACACACACCAACAGACACACGCTAGCCGCTTATATCTAGTAGGATAATTATTATTTATGAGTACTCCATTGATGAAATCGTAATTTAGTTTCCTACCAGAATCACCTCATTGGTTAATTCAGCATATGGACTACGAGCGAATTGAGCTCTACATCAAAACAGCTAATAGGTTGTCTTTAAATGTATATGTATCTTCACAGAATACTCATAACTCATGTCACTTTTTGAATTAGGTTATAATACGAAAAGATTCATGAATTGCGCTCATAGATTGTAAATTCAGATGGAACAACAAGGTAGTTGACGTCGAAAGTTGCCGACGGGATGGACCACCTCCAGTTGAAAAACGGGAAACCTGTGGAGAAATGCTCAGAAGCCCAGAGATGCTGAAGCTCCTCTTCATCAATGGTTTCATACAGTCTGTTGCATTATCCAAAAGTATAAGGTTCTCCCTCAGTCCAGTGCCTTTCAAATTTTTTTCAGGTTTGTTATGGCCTTCTATTACTTTGGTCTGTCTCTCCTTTCTGTTGATCTCAGTAGTGATCGCTTTACCGCCTACATGTTGTCTGCTTTCGTTGAACTACCAAGTAGGTTCTTGACGTCCAACTCCATCTTTTGTAGCAATTCCAAGCAAGACGTTCCATTATGGAGGTACTTCCTTTTCCTGCTCAAATTTCATAAGATCAAATGTTTTGGTTCCCAATACGAAAACTGCGACTGTCTGCGAAAAATATGCTCAAATTTTACTTTCTAAAGGGAGAGATGCCGCAGTAGCAACGGAGAACTGTATTCTCCGGTCTTGAGAGGGAAGTATCCCATGTCGAAGTGGCCATATTCAATGAGAAGTACACTGTTTAATTAGATTCGAACGATGAGTTCCAATTTTCTTCCCTGATCCGCCAACCATCGAGAGGCAAAATTGTAAAAAATTAGTCCTTTACGCTTTTGAGACAGCTAGGAGTATATCAATGGCATCATGCAGCCAAAGCTGATACAACTCCTTGAGTATTCCCGGTAGCGTAACTGGTAGCGCACTTGCCCGGAAAGCGAGAGGTGCGGGTTCTAGTCCCGCCTGGGGCGAAAGTTTTGTTCACAACCCAGCATTCTTGTGAAACATTCGCAACTGCGTCGAAAACAGCAGCTAACAAACAAAAACAATTCGTTGGCATAATCTGGTGTCATGACGGGTCAGTGGCGTATTCGGCAAAAATATTCGGTAGTAGGCGCAAATGTTTATTGCTTCAAATTTCGAAATTCTCACGATTCCCCACTGCCATAATCAGTGTGTAATTCATCATCGCGACTCCCCACCCACAACTGCACGCTAAGTCAGGGTCAACCGTTCGTCCGAGTCACATGAAAGAAGGAGTTCGTAATTGCTTGAGTGGAGGTAGTTGTAAACAAAAGGACTCGCGGCGGAAATCGTGGCGACGTCGTCCTTGGTAAGTGAATAGGAGAGGGAAATGCTGAAAGAAAACATGGGTTTCCCGCTTACCAACGCTTTTGCGGAATCAGAGTTAATGACGCCACAAAAGAGCCTCTCATCGATAGCTTCAGTCCTGTCGTTTAGGCACTCAACCATACTGGTCTCCACGGAAGGACCTGGGGTAAAACCATGCTGTTGTTTTGAATCGATATGACGACGGCTGACATGCTTTTTCGAGACCTTCTCGGACGGCAGGTTTATACTCAGAGGGTGACAATTCTCGGGGCTCCACGATGGTTCCTGCTTCGGGAAGCGGTGTAACAAAGGAGTGTTTCCGGCGCAAGGGTACCTCTCGGAGACTCAACGATCGAACAGATGAACATAACCAATCAGGGCTTTATCTTCCTGGAAGACGCTCTTGAAATGTTCGGCTAACATATTGGCTTTATCGAATGGAGAAATTGCAAAAACTTCCTCTTCTCTCGGACAATCAACTGGTATGAAGTCGAAGATCTTCCTTCTCAAATACCTACAAAAGACAGAAAATTACTTGACCTTCTCTTTAAAGGCAAGATTCAGGATTAAATTATGAGGTAATTCCACTCAAATGTGAAAGTAGGGGTAGGAAGTGGACCGCCAGTGGAGAAAAAAGGAAAAAAATCGTGAAATACACAGGAAATACGAGCCTTTTGCTCTACGCTGCGGAGAAGTTCAAAAGGCCGGCAGATGAGAGATAATGTGAGCGCGGAGAGCGGTAGAGAAGTCCGAGTAGAGAGAGCATAGCAGATCAAAGCGACGCAGACAAGATATCGAGCGGTGGGCGGAGCGTGTCGCAACAGGTGGAGCGTGTCAAAGTTCTTAGCGCCTAGCGTCTAAATAACGCTTTTCGAAGTAGGGAAGTGACGCGACCTCTACACTTGCGTACCTAGCGCTTCTAGCCACCGTAAAGGCTCATTAAGTGGGTCTGAGCCCGAACTTTGCCTTTAAGTATCATTTAATCTCTGAGGTGTAGGTAAAGCATCTTTGTAAAGATTTTAGCAGCCAGCACTCGGCCTCCTCACAGACACAGAGCAAAATCAGTGCAGAGATATCATTCCGGTTTGATGTCGTGATTGTGATAGCCTCTGATTTGTTAACACTC